ATTTCATAGATATCAAAATATCGTGTATTGTTTACCATTATTTGCCAAAGAGTTTATAATTTCAATTTTGTTTTATTTTTTATTCAAAAATTATTTATGACTTTTTTAACAGTACATGGGTAGTTTTTTTACCTAAACTTTTAAAAAACACTCAATTTCTAATTTCATTGTGTATAGTTAAAGACTATGGCCTGAATGCCTTCTGTTTTATGGAATTTATAGAGATTTCTTGTGTCCTAATATTCAGTTTTTACTTTGATAGATATTTGCAAAGAATTTTCTAATTTTATGATAAGAGTATCTATTTATATGTGTTCTCAATATGTTAAGTAAATTGTTTGAATCTACTGCACACCTTCTCAAATAGCTATCAAGCTTTATCTACTATTATTGTGTTGCTAATGTTGCATCATCATCATTTATGTAAATTTGATGTTTTTTGAAACAACTATTTTATCTACATTATAAATTTTATCTTTTGCTTTTAAATATATTTGTTAATATTTGTTTTTCTTAAGATTTTAACAATGATTAATTTTGTTAATATTTGCTTGACATGTCATTGACTATCACTTTTTCTTCCTCTTCCTCCTCTTCTCCTTCTCCTCATCCTCCCCTCTCCCTCTTACCCCCTCTTCCTCCTCCTCCTCACCCTTCTCCTCCTCCTTGTTCGAGTCAGGGTCTCACTATATAGTTTAGACTGACCTTGAACTCATTATAGCACAGACTGGCCTCAAACTCACAATGATCCATCCTCCTGCCTCAGCCTCCCAAGTGCTGGGATTACAGGTATGCCCCTGGCTGTCACTTTATTTTCAGTCCTTCTGTGTAAGTTAATTTCAGTTGTATCACTCATGTGGCATAATATAGTTTTCTGTCATGGGGATTTGTCCTATTCTGAATTATTTCAATCGTTCACATACTTAGACTTCATTTCTATGTTACTTTATGTATTCTACTTACCATGTTTCTCCCTCAGTTTTCCCAGTGTCCTGGTCGTATGGAGTTTCCTTTTCTTTCTTTATCCCATAGGTGATTTGAAAAATGTGCCTTATTTCTTTCTTTTAAATAGATCATTTTTAGAGCAGTTTAGGTTGACAGCAAAATTGAGCAAGAAAGTATGGAATTTCCACCCGCCCTCTCCAGTCATCGTCTCCCCCAGGATGGTGCTGAAACTCCACGGATTCATTGTTTTTTCACCCTAAGTCTGCGGTTTACACCCGCGACTGTTACACATCCGGTGGGCACTAACCAATGTATAATGACACGTGTCTACCACCGTGGAATCCGCCTAGATAACTTCACTGCCCTAGAAACCATCTGTGCCTCGTGCTGCTTTCACCCCTTTCTGTCTCTGAGCCCCTGGCAGCCCCTGGCCCTTTTGCCATCTCCACAGGTTTTGCACTTTCCAGAAAGTCACGTAGCTGGGGTCACACAGGATGCATCCTCTTCACATGAGCTTCTTCTGCTTAGCATTACTCATGGGAGGCTCCTTTCAGTCTTTCACGGCTTCAGTATTGAGTAATGTGTGTCCCCTACTTCTCTATCCGGTGCTCTTTTTCTACTAAGAAGATACATAAGTGGATTTCTGTTAAGTGAAGCTTGAAAATGTATCTCCTAAACATACTCCTTCTCATTTATTTATTGCTGTATTTTCTGAGGGATTTCTTTTTATTCCAGATCTCTAATTTGATTTTTGGATGGTCCATTTATTACTTCCTTTTGAGTGATTGATTCTTATTTTTTTATCTTTACCTTAAAAATTGTACCTTTTCTCACAAAGGAAATATCTTCCTAAAAATTCTGATGATGCTACTTAGAATGTTTTAAATTTCGCTTCCGTTTTCCATCTCTTTAGTTCTTGCTTTTTTTTGGTTTCTTCAACATTGCTCACCTTTCCTTGTTTCTCTTGGTGTTTCTCAAATGCTCAGTGATCTTTAATTGTCTGTGCATAAAAGCATGGCTCTCCTTTTTGGTGTGTGCGACTCTGTTCCCATAATGGGAGGAGGTGACTGTAGGTTGGGTCTGCTGACAGGCATGTTTCTCTCCACGGTAGAGAAGGGAGGCAAGTCAGAATGTAACACAATTGTCAAAGGAAAGAAGACTTGATCTTGCTAGCAGCATGGGATTTCATTCCTCAAAGGAGCCTCCTTCCTTCCCTACCACTCGCTGCGGAGGGTCCAGTGCACAGAACAAGAACATCCTGGAGCTGAGATCGGACCGCAGACCCAGCTCCCCTGCAGGTAATGCTCACCTCCTCCATCCTCCTGAGCACCGTCCTGTGTTGTATTCTCCACCTGCTCTTGGCATGAGTAGCTCTCTTCTCTGAAACAGCCCCCCTACCCCATGACTTATTTTGTGTTGCAATTTCTTCTACTCTGGTTTCTCTATCAGTCTAACTACTCTTCTAACTTCCAGAAATTCCTCCAAAATGTATGGTCAACTGGTGGTGTCCTTCTCTGTTTCTCAGGTCATTTTAATTTAATGTAATTTAATTTTCATTGTTGGGGATTGAATCCAAGGCCTTCGCACAAAGCTTCATCCCAAGCCCTTTTAAAAATTTTTATATTGTGAGACAAGGCCTCATTAAGTCTCTGAGTTGCCCAGGCTGGACTTGAACTTCTGGCCCTCCTGCTTTAGCTGCCCAGCGTGCTGAGATTACAAGTGTGTGCCGTCATCCCAAACTTGTAAACTTATTTTAAAATTATGTAACTTGTGTCATTTTAAGAATATTTGGGGAGAGAGGGGAGGTAAATGTGTGTGTTTTGTCTGCCATGTTGAACTGGGGTCTTCACCTACTTTGGGTCTTTAGTTAAGGTTCTACAAGCTAACCATTTAGAAGCTGTGGCCAGTATCTGGATTCTCATGTTGTATATCTCTTACCTTTATGTGAAATCTCTGTATCAGGAGTCCCTATTTTAGATTTCTTGGCTCTCTATCAATTACCCTGATGCTCCAAAATAGGCCCTGAACTAGTCTCTAGCGGAGTTTTAGAAGAAAAAACTAAAGCAAAGCTCTTTAAAAATATTTTTTTTCAGCAACACTTAGGCAGGCTAAGGCAGGCAGATTACAAGTCCTGTTTGGCAACTTAGTGAGACTGTCTCAAAATTTTTTTAAAAAATAACAAAAAGCCTGGGGTTGCAAATCAGTGTGTAGCCCTGGGTTCAAACCCAAAATCCACAGACTTAAAATGGCAATGGGCAACTAATAAAAGCTAAATGAAATCTAAAACAACATGTATCATTCAAGAAAACTTTATATAAAGTGATTTCCCCAAGAAAAATTTGTTCTATTCAGGTTTCTCTATCAGTCTGACTGGTTTTCTAACCTCGATAAATTCCTCCAAATATATGGCCAGCTTTTCTAGTTCTCTCTGAATTTTTCCTGTTCCTTTTCCAGATTGCTAGTAATAATTGCTTTTACTATAAGAACTTTAATAGTACACTGTTTTCCTAAGTGTATGGGCAGACCCATGAGCAAAATAACAATGCCAACCACGCACTAGCTACTTTAAAACATACATTTCACCTTTGAACAAACATCATTTAAAGATCAGATTTATAAAATTGGCCTACCTAGTGAATAGAAATACCATTGACCACAATGTGATACAACTTCTTTAACCCTGGAAAGCAGACAAACTATGCTTTAAAAGGATACTTTCTAAATCTTCTAAGTCATCATCTATTTGGAGGGTAAATACTAGAATTTATGAGATGATACCAGACAAAGGCACTGACAGCATACAAAGTAATCTGTTTTCTTATTACTCCCAATGTCTCATGCTGCTTGATCCCTAAGGCATATTTTATTTTATTTTTTATTTTTTGGTACAGGGGATTGAACTCGGGTCCTTGCGCTTGCAAGGCAGGCCACCGAACTGCTGAGCTAAATCCCCGGCCCCCTAAGGCATATTTTAAAATTGTAAGAGAAAGTTTTCCGGTGGGGTTTGGTTTTTTTTTTTTTTTTTTTTTTTGGTACCAGAGATCAAACTCAGTCCTTGAGCTTGCAAGGCAGGCAGCAGAACCCCTAAACTAAAACTAAATCTCCAGCCCTGGTTAGGAATTTTTTATTCTTTTGGGCTATATCTCAATTCCTTATGTAATCCCAATATTAAATTTCTTCTATTTCGTAGTAGGAAGTGACTCTATTGCTTCACCAAGTTGGCTCAAATTTTTAGTGATAGCCACTTCAACCCATCAAAATAAAATGATTTTCAAAGAACACCACTTCCCAATTCTTATTTTTCAATAAAAGATCTTCACTGAAGACAAAATTCCTGCACATTTTGCTTAAAAATGAATTGTATTGCTACACAAGATAGTAGACACTTTTTAGACTGAGCTATAGGTATGATTTTAAGGCCCTTAATATTCAGAATATTTTGAATACTGTTCATGTAATATATACATAAATAAGATATTGTACTTAGAGACTAATTTTAAAATAAGGCCATGTTTTATAGAAAGAGGAAATAATTACTTGCAGGAGACCAGCTTGAAACTGCACTGAGCAGGCTTTAGATATTATTGATTTGGCTTATAATTTGGCTATTGATTCAAACTATGATGGGGCTGGGGATTTTGCTCAGTGGCAGTGCGCCTGCCTCCTAAGAGCAAGGTCGTGAGTTCGATCCCCAGTACCAAAAAGCAAAAACAAAAAAATCAAACTATGAGTAGCTCCAAGGCCCAAGGATGAATTGCTAATTTCCTTTCGACTGGTGTTCAGAGATAGACTTCCTTGTGCCAACGGTCATGACTGAGGTCTCAAAGAACGATGAAGTTATGGTGTCTCTAATCTCAAAGAAACACTGCAGCTGAGGAATTGTGACTGCAACCATTCTCTATGATCAAAACTGTACCACTAAAATCCAGTGAGCATGTACCCTGAGCTCAGCACAGCTGGGGAAGATCTCAGAAATCAGGAACGCCCCTCTCTGCAAGTGAGCTCGAGGAGCCTGCACTTGGGGCCCCCTTGTGGCTGAGTGGGGCAGGGCTGCTTGCCGAGAACGCGCGGGAGGGTCCTTCTGCTCTGGGGCTCCAGGCTGCTAAGAAAGCACACACAGGGGAGCCCTGCTTTCTACCACCGCCACTCCGAGAGTGCAGGCTGCTCCGAGGATCTGTGTCTCTGGGTCCCGGGACAGGAGCGCCCTGGTCGTGGTCAGGGGAAGGGGGCAGGCAGACCGGTCACGGACAAAAGTAGGGTGCTCCAGGTTAAGGTATGCGGAGGGGCGTATGGGGAGCAATCGGGTTGGAGTGTGTGTGGCCCAGGGGGGCTGAGGCGCACCCCAGGGCGCTGACAGGAGGAGCTCGCAATCCTGCGCCGGCGATGCTGAGCGCACCCCCCGCTGCACCCGCGAGCCCAGGCACGTGTTTGCCCCTGGCGTCCTCGCGGCCTGAGTCTCGGGGCTGCAAACGCGGCTGTCAGGATTCAGCCCGTACTAGGTCACAGACCTTGTCACGCCGTCCCTCACCTCTGTCCCCGGACTCCCCAGAGACCCCAGACGGCAGGGTTAGTAACTGATCCTAACCCAAATGTGCCTAGGAGCTGCATCTCCACCTGCCCGAGTGCCCCCTCTTGGGGCGAAACCTTGGATTTGGGGGGAGGAGCTTCCCCTCCCCTCAGCCTAACGGATGCTGAACCCTGGGATTCCCTAGGTGGCCCCACTGGGGTCAGCACCAAAGTCGTCAGAGTCAGTGCTGCCCTCCCTGGGGTGCAAGAAGGTGGGCGCGGCTTAATAATGGAGAAGAGGGGTTCTTCCCACGGTTGGTCCCGAGGTCCCAGGAGTCATTCTGGGTCTGGGGGTGTCAAGTTGGGGCACAGATAGGGGATGCTAAGGGTCCATGCTACTCTACAAGGACTTAAAGGTTTGACTTATTCAACAGCTCTAGTGGAAAGTCAGGCAGAGCGCCTTGGTCCTGAGCCGCTCCGATGTCCCGCCCTTGGGACTCTGGCCGGGCTGAAAAAATGGCTGGCTAACTGCTTTCAGTATGTACCCAGGAGTGAGGTAGTATCTGGAACAAATGGTAGCTTTAGTTTTGTGGGGGACCTCCATACTGACTTCCATAGTGGTTGTACGAATTTATATTCCGTGTAAAACATGGGAGTTTTAAGTATTAACAGTGTTTCATTTGTCTCTTTTTGTCTTTTTTTTTTTTTGCTTGTGCTTTGAGTGCCATATCTAGAAAACCTTTGATTAACTCATCAAAGGTGACCAGTGTTTATTCCTATATATTTTTGTAAGATTTTCATAGGTCTGGCTCTTACCTTAGGTCTTTAACACATTCCCGCTGGCTTGAGCCATTGGTGGTACATCCATGACTGTCCCATCGAGTAATTTACACTGTCCAGTGGGGTGTCCCATGCCACCCAGTGGGAGGATCATGCATGCGAGATGTTGACTACAGCCCTATCATGAACGCGTTAATAAATTGTAAACAAATTTTATATATAGTATAACTTTGAAGCCCAACTTTATTCTTTTTCACAGAGTTGCCCAATTTTCCAGCACAAATACTTGTTGACAAATAATTGACTTTGTAAACTATCATCAGATAGATGTTAACCATGCAGTACAAAGTGATAAACGTCAAGAGTGTTCAAAAGACAGTTCGCACTGTACAGGTAGGCCTCTTACTATCTAGTTCCTTAGCTAATACTACATTTTATTCAGTGCCTCCATTCCAACAGAACTCCTTAAAATTTTGTTTTCCTACATGTGTATTTGTTAGTGTTGAGGCAGGAGATCAGGACATGGCAAGCAGGCTGAAAACAGGATGCAGGATGATGTAACCTGAGCCAGATCTCCTGCCATTGCCTTCATTGTCATTGTGGTCTTCCTGCCGTGACAGTGGCTCCCCCTGCATACGGGATGTTATCTCTTCTTGTTTTTCTCTTTTCTTTATTCTGTCTCTTTCTTCCCTTACTTTAAGTAACAGTTGGGTTTACCTGTTCATCCATTGTCCCGTCCAATTCTTTGGGTGGGACACAAAGAGCCTGGAATTACTGGACACTGTGCTATCTAGTAATGGTACTGATGTGAAATAGTAGGTTCTAAAATTCACATAAAACCTTCATGTGTTTAGTATATCATTTGTGCCGATGTTATATTAGGCTTTGGAAATGGAAAGTGGAGTTTCAGTAATTATTAAAGGAAGGGAGAGAGTTTCCAAAGGAGATAAAGTCCCTGCTTTCTATAAAGGGTCAGAAAGATAAATAACATGAGAGACCCTGTAACTGAGGCATAACATGTGATGCCCATAGGAATGTGGGCAGTTGAATACATAATAAAGTCAACTATTTAAAAATTACTTGAGGTAGAAAGTTTGTCATGTTGATGCGGTTTTCTGTTATCCTTGAAATATAAATGAAAAGGTGAATGACAGACATTTGGTTTTCACCTTTATTTGTGACCTCTGTTCATTCGCTCTTAGACATAATTAGTTTTTTTAATGGACAAAACCTAATGTAGTTTCAGAGGAGACAGCACAAAGGTCTCCTCTCTCTAATGTTCATATTGTATTTCCCTAGTAAGTACCTGTTTGTAAAAAAGACAGCAGTTCTATTCTCTTTCATAAGTTCCCTTTTTCCCATTAGGGGAAGATATATAGATATATGCTATTTCATTTTTTTTCTAGCACACATAACATTCTCATTTAATTTGGGGAGCTTCTGGAGCACTAGGTAAGTGGGCTGACATTAAGAAAATCATTTTCCAGAGACCTATGCAATTATTTTCTTTTTAAAATGGAATGTGCAGTTTACCAAGTTTTTTGGTAATTACCAATTTTAGTACTCCCTTCCAAAATAGCATCCAGTATTTATGAGCTCATCTAGATATAAACATCAAGCACTCAGGAATTCTGAAGATAGAAGAGAATCACAGAGTTTGTAGTGTTTTTCAAGCTAATAAAGAAAGTATACAGTTTGACGTGTTCTTTCTGTTTTCTGTCAGGCTGTGAGACCAAGAGCCTTACCAACCACTCCGAGGAGCTTGATAGCCACGAGAATCACCTGGGAAGGAGCACACTGGACAAGTTGGAAATGAAACAGACCTTTATTAGTCTGACCAGACAGCACTCCTGAAGCCGAGTAACTCAGAGAGGTGCTACTTCAGGGGCTGAGGGATTCTTATAAGGGGATACAGGGGGCTTTAACAGTCAAAGCTTGCAGTCAGGTGGCAAAGGTTAATGGTCTGCTGATTTGCACTAGTGGCCAGCTGTCACGTATTCAGCAGCCACACGTTGATGGTTAACAGATGCCTACAAGATGTTCTAAGATCTTAAAAGCATTTCAGCTTTAAGCAGTTTTCTCTGTTGAAGATAAGGGCAGGGTGAAACAATAGTCTCTGGGCCAACATGGAGTCACTTTAGCTCAGTCAGGTCTTACAAGGCAAAGAAAAATAATTAACCCTATCATAGAATAATTCTGAAATTTGTTGGCACTAGTATAAGCATAACCTCAACCTGTCTTGCCAAGTTCATACTTTTTTTTTTTTTTATGCTGGGGATTGAACTCGGGACCTTGAGCTTGTGAAGCAGGCAGTGGAACCACTGAGCTAAATCCCCAGCCCCCAAGTTCATACTGTTATGTATTTATAAAGGAATCAATAGTCCCACTTTGTTTCAGCATGTTGCATTTCATGTAGTTGTTGAAAACAAGAAAATCCAAATCTTTATTGCCCGAGTAAAGATCAGTGAATTGATCTTGAAATTCCCATTGGTTTTGCTACGTGAGCAAAAGAGATCCATGTATTTTGAGTAAATCGGTATCTAAATCTATTAACTTTCAGTTATATTTGCTACTTGTAACATTTATTACTTATAAGCAGAATGAATCCTGTGACTCCTAAACACATGATGCATGTGTTTATTTTCTTGTAAATGCAGGTTGTACATAAGAAATTAAAAGTGCCTAAGAAACTATGTTGTCCACATTTATTCCTTTTGCAGCAAAGGGAATATAAGCCCAGAGAAATGTCTGGCCACCACTTTGAGCACCTCTTTGAATTGTAGTGGCCAAAGGTGATTTGTATTAATCTTATAATAGCTCAATAAATTTAGCATTAAAATATTTATACAAGTTTTTTCCTTTTCCTGATATATACATTTTTTTGGCAGACTCTGTTTATATCATATATATTGTGGTATCTGACAGTTTTATTACACAGAAAATACATACAAGTGGTCTTCTACATTAGGTTTCCATGAAAAGTCCTATTTGTAAAACAACTTTATAGAGGCATATTTGTCATCCTTCTTGGATTATTCATCCTGATGTTTAACAGCTGTCATTCTCAGAAAGATTTTCTTAAATTAGATTTCTTGGATCTTGGTTATTTCCAAGTTTTTGTTTTTGTGTTTTTGGTGTTGGGGATGGAACTTGGGTCCTTGCACTTGCAAGGCAGGCAGCAGAACCACTGGGCTAAATCACCAGCCCTCCAAGTTTTGACAGTGATGCATAAAGCTTTGATATGCATTGCCATGAAAGTTTTTGTGTAGACATAAGTTTTTAAGCCCATTTGAGTAAATACAAAGGACTGCAATTATGAGGCCACACGGGAAAAGTATGTTTAGTTTGTAAAAACCACCAAACTGTCTTCCAAAGTGACTGTACCATTTTGTATGCCCATCACTAACGAATGAGTGTTCCCACTGCTCCCTAGCCTTACCAGCAGGGTGTTGTTTTGTTTTGTTTTTGGTCTTTTCCCTTCTCAATTTCATTTGTTTCTATGGTGTCACCTATTATTTATGTTCTAATAAATTCTGTGTCTGCCATTCCATTTGGATGGCTTACTATCTCCTTACCTAGCAAGTTTGACCCCAAATGCCTAATTGACTATAGCCTTCTCCATAGGAAGAAATCAGGACTAGAGTCAGACAGTATTTACTATGAAATTCAGCATTTATTTCAAGTCCTGTTCTCCTTGGTGTGCCTTTGCTATAGAATGGGAAGACTTAATCCCCTCTCATCCTTTCTTCTGGTCAGTGAGATGTGAGAGTCTGAACAGGGGTAGGGGAAGGAGAAGGGATGTCTTTAGGAAAGGCTGTATTTTCCTGACACAGGCCAGGTGAAGCAAGCAGTTATTCCTTCCCTCTTATCACCTTGGACACTTATCTGGTGTCTGAAACCGTTACAGCTGTTTCACAGCCCTGAAGAAAAGTCTAAGAGAAGCATTTGACATCGATGAGCCTCTCAGCCAGGGAGCTACTGAGAGTACATTAAACACTTGTGTTCTGACTTCTTTTACTTAGGAGAAAAAAGCCCTGGATTTTTAGAACATTGTTAATAGTTTTCTAGTAATTACTGCCAGGTTGGTACATGAACATCTATTAACTAATGGTAGTACCATCCTCCTAGACGTGTAGGTGAAATAATTCATACAGTGTTCACATCTTTTCAAACTTCACCCATCATAAAGCAGTTCAGCATCTAGTCTCGTCCATTATCCTGTCTTTTTTCCTGTTACTGTCATTTTTATTCTACCCTACATCAAAGTCATAATCTAGACAATAATAATGCCATGCTAACTTTTCTATCCTAATTTTTTCACTCCTCTAAGTTGTCACACTGCTATTAGCTTTGATTGTAAAAGGAAAAAAAGTAACACTTTTCCCCTCAAAAGTCTTAGCTAAGTCTTACATTCTTATTAGCATAAGAAGATACAGGTATCATGAATGACCTTCCTGATTAAGGACAATGAAAAAGGAGGGCTAAAAATGTTAAGAATATTTCAAAACCTATTGTTGACTTGACAAGAAGATAAAGAATCTAAAAAGGCCCCAAAATGGAAATTTAACGCATAGCACTAAGGAAGGTATCTTTCACCTCAAGGGAAATTGGCATATCTTGGTCCATGTGAGCTTCCATTTAAATGGCTAAGGGGCAAAACAGAACATGTTTCCTGGGGCTATCATGCAAGATCCTCTTCTAAAGCTGGTACCCAAGACAGCCTCACTCTTACTGCTCAGACAGGCAAGAGGCAAACATTCATTCAGAATAAAATAGCAAGGGAAGATGACTTCCTGGACTGTGGAAGGGGAGAAAAATCCCTGAGAACTTGTCATTCACCACCAGCTTTCAGGCAGGTTTAATACTGCACAGGTAGCTTGACTTCTTGCTGCATGTGTGGTTATAAAAGCTGAGGATTTAATTCAAATGCCCCTGCCCTAGAGAGACTCATGGACAACAGACCAAAACACATTGTCTCATGATTTCTCTCTTAACAATCCATGTAAAATTTCAGAGACCCTGAGCTCACAGAAAAGAAAAGGTTAGAAAACACAAACACATAACAGAAAAAGACATTACTAATGAGTGTCAGCAAAAACATAAGGCAGCAGAATTGAATAGTCCAACAAATAGTTCAGGTATTTCAATTATCAGTCATAGAATATAACAAATGTATTCTGCATCTTAGAGGAGTAAGAAAGGCTTGAAGGCAAGAGCAATGGAACTGACCAAAAATGACTGGCTTGATTTGGGGGAAATAGATTGAAGTTACATGCATTAAAAATAAAATACCAAAATCAAACATGTAGCAGATAGGTTGAACCAGTAGGTTACACGTAGTTTAAGAAAATGTTAGTAAACTATAAGGTGGATCTGAAGCAAATGGGGAAATGGAAGCCAGTCAGACAAAAAAGAAAAAAAAAGAAAAAAAGAAAAGAAAAATATAAGGGACGTTAAAAGGCACAAAAATTTAAAGATATAAAACATATCTACTTGGAGTCCCAGAGAGGATAATAGGGAGCGTGTGGAAAAGGCAAGATATAAGGACATAACACAGCAGTGGTGAGACAGAAGGCTGGTGACAAACCCCTGGGTGCAGTAAAGACTTCCTCTCTGTGGCAGGCATGGCCATGAGACTCTGAAGAAACCACAGAAGCAGAATGTTTGCATGAAATGAGACATTGTTGTCAAGCAAAAATCTAAACAAGCCTTCTAACTTCCCTTGCACTTAGTAAACTTAACATCACTAATGTTGGAGGTCACACAGCTGGGAGGTGCATTATGAGCTCCCCACTCTTGATGTGTGGGCTGAGAGCAGTTGCCTGGGGTTCTTCTTGAGACCTGAAGGCCTTTACTGCTAAAAACACTGTCAGACCCTTAACTTGAGCCTTCTGAGATCTGAGGAGTGACTAAGATGAGAGAAAAGGTTTAGCATCTCTGTCTTCACAATTGTCCTGTCAACCTTTGGGTCACATTCTATGTGGCTCTGTACTTGGATACCTTGATCATTTAAAAATGCTTAGTCCGAGATTATAATGTAGGATTGACTTGGCCTATTGACCCCTGAAACTGTTGTTTTCTTCTCTGTCCCATCTTTTCTGCCCCTGTCCTTGGGATTCATCAACTGCTGCAGCAACCAGAACCCCCAAAGTCCTTATGCCCTATCACATGGCCCAGGCCCACAAAGCTGAGGTGGTTTGCCATCTATGCAAAAATTCAACAATCCCCCAGGATGAGTTCACCGTGACCGACCTAGTGGCCCAAGTCTCACACAAGAAGGAACAACTTCTGGAACCATACTCCTGACCAGTGGAAATTACTGGACTTTAACCTACTCCAGCTCATCCAAATCTCACTGTTCCCTTTTTTTTTTTCTGCAAGCAACCTGATTCCCCTTTTCTTGGTCAACGATATCTCCCTTCAGCTGAAGTCCTAATTAAAGCTTTGCTTACCTGTGTGTGAAATAAAGATGCCCCGCACAAAGGAGCTTCCTTCCCAGTGGGAGGTCAGACAGAAAACATGCTGGCAGATATAGCTAGTGGTTTGAGATTTGGGACCCAAGTACACAGAATGTCCCGTGTCTCTCCCTTATAGGCTGAGTCACCTCCTAAGGTGGGGACTGGAAAGATACAAGAATGTAGAGGGATCTCAGAGGAGGACTTCAGTATGGAGAACCCAGACCTACCTCATGGAATGAGGGGGTAAGGGCAGGAATCCATGAGGCAGCTGGGGATGGAAGGGTGGTGTTAGGAGACCTGTCTTGTCGCCAGTTCATACTGGAAAAGGGTTCACTTGAGATTCAAGCAGCCTGGAGAAGAGAGACAGATCGTGGAAATGTCTGAACATGCCTTCATTTTCAGTTGCTCAGCTCAGCCAAGCACACTCACGCAGCAGTCCTCAGGCCCCTAGCCTACCTCGCAGCATCCTTGGCTGCTTAGTCTCCTACCAGCCCTCCGGCAGTCTGCATTTATACCAAGATACACGATAGTGGCTGTGTGCTAGTAGCGACATTGGTTATATGTTATTTACACCACCCAGCATCTACCTTGGCTCCAGAAGCTTTAACATTAGGGTATCAGGAGATGTACCTGCACTGGAGCTCTATTGACACAGGACCCACTACCTCCCAGATCCCCTTCACCCCATAGCCTGAAACAAACTACCACCATCTTGCACTTCTGCGTTTCTTTATAAGACTCAGAGCAGAAAAGTCAGCCA